AATATCAATTAGATCAAGTTGTTGATAGTATTATTGAAATTTTCTATATCCTTACTCATTTTCTGCCTACTTGTTCTAACAAATATTAAGAGGTTGTTAAAATTGCCAATACAATTCACCTGGATATATTTCACCTTAAATTTTGTGTATTAATATTTTGAAGCACTGTGATAGAGTATATGTTCTATTGATCAATTTATTCTAGCTTTGGAGTTTTTCCTCACATGCGTGCACTGATCTGTACTCAACTGAATACTGGAATGGCAACTTCTGAAGATCTCTGAAGATCTCTCTTCTTGCAGCTCTCTCTTTTTTGGTGCTCTGTCTTGAGAATACTAGCTCCTTGGGTTCACTGGACTCCCAGCTGTGCCTCCTCAGGTCAGCGGGGACCCCACCAAGGTCATTCTGGGTTCCCTTTCCTTGCACTGTGGTCTAGGAGCTTTCTCTAGGCAGTAAGCTGTGGTGGTCCTAGGGCTCACTTCATTTGTTTCCAGTCTTGCATGGGTCACTGTTCTTCATTGCCTGAAGGTCAGTGTCTTCAGGGTTATTATTTCATATATTTTGTCCAGTTGTTTTTATTAGTTTCCAGTGGGAGTGTAAATCTGATCCCTATTATTCTATCTGGATCAGAAGCAGAAGTCTCACTATGCTTTTACATGTGAGAAGATACATAGGAGCATAATAAGATATATAGACTATATCTTATTCTCTAAATGATAATAATTTCAAAGAACTATTTTTTTTGTGTGTGTGTCTTCACAGAAGCTGTAAAAGTTGATAAAGAACTATTTTTTAAAGGCAGGGTAGGATACTGACTTGTGAATCAAAATACCCAAGTTCTAATTGTGTCACTTTTTGTATAAACTAGAAAAAAATTACTTAAATTTGCTGACCTTAAGATTCCTCATTGTTGAGAAGACGAAATACGATAAAGTAAAAGTATTTAGTAAAATATGAAGTCATAAACAAATGTAAAGTATTATTCAAAGATACAAAATATGTCAGGGAGAGGTTAGAAAATATTGTTGCCTACTCACTCTCTACCCGTGTCTATTCCCTTTTTGTTATCAGAATCGTGATGCTATTCAGGTGAAGAATGTGTCTGGCCCTAGGTTTTGTCTCATACCGCCAGCGCTTCCTGAGGCCAGGGATGGCCATGTCATTCAGTTGTGGAAAAGGAGGAATTATGGGCAGTTTGCTAGTGGTATTTCTGGGCAAACTTTTGCTTTCCTGATAAAAGGAAGAGACTAAACTGACATTGCTTCTTTCCTCCTACTTTTTGCTTGGAGTACAGACAGGCTTGATGCATCACCCTCTGGAGGTTATTTTGTAAGCACTTGGGAGGACCTCACCACCATATACATACTGGCCCTAGCCTTACTGAGTTGCTGAATAAACATTGATAGCCACCTTTCTCCACAGTTCTTGTTATATGTGCAAAATATATTATTTAAGCCATTATTAGTTGGGAGGCAAAAGCATCGCTGATTCAGGAGAAGGGGAACTGGAGAGCTGAGTTATATCTTTGTCTGTAAGTTAACTGTTTGAAGAAAACTATATGAAGCAAAAATGGAGGAAATCTTGTTTAAACTTTGTTTAAAATCAAGAGCAATGCCTGGCACATAGTAAGTGCTCAATAAACATTCTCCAAATAAATGTGGATAGATATGCAAATCTTGAAGGATTCTTGTATATACAAATTGACAAACAGCAATCCCTCTAAAATCCCAGCTACTTAACAATTTTAGCACAAGACTATTACTGGTTGTGTTCATTAGAGAGCACTGAGATATTTCTACATAATCATACACATAAAGAGAATCTGAGGGTTATATCATTGCCTTTCTAAGATACTAAATGAACTTAGTTAGAGAGCAGTTCCTCAGATTTAACCTGAGGAGATACCAGTAAAACTCACCTTAAGTTCCTCAAACAGTTGATCTTGTAGGAATATTTGTCCTGAATGATGGAAAAGCTTCTTTGAGAGTGATCATACCATTTCGGGGAAATCCCTGCTCAGGCTATCCTTGGCATAGTTGCAAATGCCTGGCATGTGGAAGATAAATGTTCTAACATTCAGTTTCCATGGAAGATGAGTGGATAGTTTTAACAGACAATTTCTTTTTTGCCAATATTTTGCAACATCAGCTATAACAAATCATATATATTAGTAATCAGAAAATGGAATATGCCTGATTTAATTTTGTGGAGGAAAGAAGAGTGCTACAATTAAAGTAGTAGAAATGTCTTCTCCTTCCTCTCTCTCCATGCCCTTGGGATTTTGATGAAAATTCCTATAGAAAGTTATTCTTGGGATTTTGATGAAAATTCCTATAGAAATTGTACAACCCTATGGAGGATTCATTTATTTCTGCTCTTAATAATAGTCATAAATAAACCGGGAGTGATGGCTCATGCCTGTAATGCTAGCACTTTGAGAGGCCAAGGCAAGAGGATTGTTTGAGGTCAGGAGTTCAAGACCAGCCTGGCAAGAGTGAGACCTTGTTTCTACAAAATATAGAAATATTAGCCGGGTATGGTAACATGCTCCTGTAGTTCCAGCTACTGGAGAGGCTGAGGCAGGAGGATAGCTTGAGCCCACGAGTTTGAGGTTGCAGTGAGCTATGATGATGCCACTGCACTCCAGCCCGGGTGACAGAGTGAGACCCTGTCTCAAAACAAACAAACAAACAAAAAATAGTTTGTAGTCTAGAAATAATAGTTTATAGTCAGAAATAATAACCAAATATTAGAGATTGCAAACCTCGAAACAACAGAAAAGTTCTTTTGGTTCATGGATTTGCACACTTTGTCCTTGGCTTTCTCTCAAAGTGTGAGCTTACGAGAGAGACTAGATGTGATAAGACTTAAGGGGACAAAAAGGTCTTGGTTACTGGCAGAAATATGGCCATAGGGAGCCGTAAATGTAATAAAAAGGGCTTTCTCAAATGCAGAAAAGAATTCCAGCCTTTCCACCCAGACAGGCAACCGTCTGGGTGGGCTGATTTTGTGAGTTAATCAGACCCAAAGTACATGTCTAGAGATTACAAAGAAAATAAATACATTTGTGGGTCAGAAATATCTCACCTGGTCTGAACTAACTGCTTTCTTTCTCAGGCATTTTTATTAGTTTGAGGTGTGTGTATTTCTTTTTTTCTTCTTTTTTTGAGACATTGTCTTGTTCTGTTGCCTGGGCTAGAGTGCCATGGCATCAGCCTCGCTTACAGCAACCTCAAACTCCTGGGCTCAAGTGATCCTTCTGCCTCAGCCTCCTGAGTAGCTGGGACTACAGGCATGCACCACCATGCCTGGCTAATTTATTCTATATGTTTTTAGTTGGTCAATTGATTTGTTTCTATTTTTAGTAGAGACGAGGTCTCGCTCTTGCTCAGGCTGGTTTCAAACTCCTGACCTTTAGCAATCCTCCTGCCTCGGCCTCCCAGAGTGCTAGGATAACAGGTGTGAGCCACTGGGCCCTGCCAGGTGCGTGTATTTCTAAATCTCCTTGTTTTTCTCTCTTATATCAGTAACACTCTTGTCTTTAACTTTGATACAGTGTAACTTTAGAAGTACAGATTGCAGATTCAGAATTTTAAGTTGAATTTATTTATACTCTATTCCTTCCTTAAAAAGACATTCAGCGATTCATTCATGTAATAGAACTCACATAATGTATTTGAGTGTATTTGTGCCATATACTTTTGGTAAAAGTCTCATCAATTCAAATAGCCATTGAGCATCTACCATGGTTAAGGTATCTTGGGGTTTATGAAGCTGGATGCAATGTGGTCCTTGATGATTGAATCTTGGTGTGTTGTTACCTTACCCAGAAGCACTTGTTTTTTAACAAGAGTATGATAACAACACTAGCTGCATATCAGAATCACCTGGGGAGCTTGTTAAAAATACACCTGTCCAGGTTCCAGCTCTCAGCTTAGGGAGATTCTGATAATAGGCAGAGCCTAAGGTGTGTGTAGTTTTTAACAAAAAGCTCCCCAAGTGAACCTGATACACAACCAGGATTAAGAAACACTGCATTAAGCTAAGAAAGGACTAACTACAGAAGTTCAGCCACAAGTCAACCAGGTGATTGCCCTTGAAATTTACATGAGCAGCTGGCTAAAGCCACTTAAAAGTCTGTTCCTCTCTATTTCCAAGGTTTCAGAATGGGTAGTTACGGGCTGAAACACACCCCAGAGGCCAGGGTCAGGCTCAATCATCCCTGTAAAACACCTGGCTCAAGACTGCTATGGGGGAATAAGAGAGCTGCAATCAAAGGTCGCCCCCAAAGCACCCCTAAAGCCTCCCCAAAGACTGTCATTATATCCATCTCATATGAAATATGGTTATTTGTGTAAATTTTCTCCTTCACTAGATTGGCAAGTATTCCAGAGCAGGGGCAACTCTCTTTTTTTTTTCCCCACTAAGGAGCACAGTAACTCATAATAGCTGTTTGACAAGTGTTTGTTTTGAATTGAATTGAATCCTTCTCACTCAGCTGCCAGGGTCTGACTATATACATATGCATAAGTTATAAATTTGCTCATAAAACACTTCAATCACACCAAAGAACATATAACATATATATGGACGAAAGAATGATAAAAGAAGCACCCACGGATCCATGCCCCAGCTTGAAAATAGGACGTTGCCAATACTTTGGGAGTCCCTTACTGAACTAGATCTTTTTAAACAGCAACTATTTTCTGAAATTTAAATCACAATGCATGCATTCACTCATTGATTGATCGGATGCATTTATTCATTCGTCAGACGTGCCTACTAAGTGTCAGATATGATGCAGACGAGGCAGTTATTTCTACTGTTGGGGTGTGGGGGCAGTCAAAAGTGACATAAGCCATCTCCGGAGACGCACAGTAGTAGCCCCTGCTGCAAATGGTCCCGACCCGGCCTGGCCCTGCAGATGGGACGCGGTTTCTGCGTGCGAACGCTCGGTGCAGAAACTACGCGTCCCGGCAGGCCGCGGGGCGGGTGGGCGGAGCCGGGCCGGGCCGGGGGCGGGGGCCGGGGGCCGGGCGCGAGGGGGCATTGTGTAGGGGAGCGCCGAGCCGCGTTTGTCTGCTCGAGGTGCTCGCCGAGCGGGCGCAGTAGCGGCCGGCCCGGGTTGGAAGTGTCAGCGGTGACCGCGGCCCGGGCGCGGGGCCGAGGGGGAGGGACCACGCGCCGGCCGGCCTCGAGCGCCGGCTGGCAGGCGGCGGTGCGCCGCGCAGCAACATGCACATAGGCGCCCGGCGCCCTGACGACCCCTCCGGAGGACCAGAGGCCGGGGCCGCGCTGGGGCGGCGGGGAGCATGAGGGAGGCGGGCGGGCGGCTCGGCGTGGAGCGCTGCTAGGGAGCCGGGCGCGCAGCACACCCGCCGGGGCGCGGCGGAGGGCGGGGAGCCGGGCAGGTCGCGCCTGCGGGCCGGAGCAGACCGCCGGGAGCTGTTCTGATTGCCGACGCGGACGCGAGGGGCCGGGCGCAGCCCCCGGCTCCGGCGCGCCGCCGACATGGGCAACGCGGGGAGCATGGATTCGCAGCAGACCGATTTCAGGGCGCACAACGTGCCTTTGAAGCTGCCGATGCCCGAGCCAGGTGAACTGGAGGAGCGATTTGCCACCGTGCTGGTAAGTGCGTGGGGCGACGGTGCGCTGGGACCCCCGCCCCTCCCCTTCGCCCCGCGCCGGGGGCGAGCCTCCTGTCCCCGGGGGGAGGCTCCGCTCCTCCCCATTGTGGCCTCCCCCCGCCTCACTCCTCGCCGTCCCCCTCAAGCCCCCTGCGCTTGGCCTCTCGGGTCCCGGGATGGGGCCGGGGGCTCGGGCGGGCTGCCCGGCCAGCCCGAACCCATTGTCTGGCGGGAGAGGCACCTCACAGCGCGTGTGCCCGGGAGGTGCAGCGTGGGCGTGAAGGGAAGGTGGCGCGGGCTCGGGAGGAGAGGGCGGCGAGCTGATCGGCTTTTTGTTAAAAAAACCAAAAAAACAAAAAAACCCCCGCAAACCCCGACCCCTGCGGACCATCCCTCGAGCGCCTAATCCCGGACCTGCGAGGTCCCCGGCAGATGGGCGCATGTGGCCGGCCGCGGGCGCAGCACGGGGCGGTGAGCGGAGGCGAACTTGGAGGGCTGACGTCGCTGTTCGGTGGAGGGGAGCTTCCCCGAAAGGGAAAGAGGAGACCCGCGGCAGTGCGGCGCCCCGGTCCCTAAGCGGGGGGCGGGAGAGGGCTGCGTCTGAATCCCAGACCGGGGAGAAGCGCCCCGGGCCGGGCAGGACCTCAGCGCGTTGCCTTTGGTCTTAAATCTTAAACCACAAAAATGCGCAGTTTTGCGGAGACGTGTTGCGAGCTGTCCTGACTGCACGGGTGACCCCTCCCCTCCCCTCCCCTGCACACCCAGCCAAGTCCCCCGCTCCCTCTCGCACTGCGCTTCTCCCAGCCTTCCAGCTCCTCAGATGCAGGACTCTGAAGATTCCCTTCTTTCTCTCTTTCCTGCTGGGACTAAGTTTCTGGGTGCCTCCCAGCCCGAGCCTGTCGTGCTGTGAGCTCCCGAGGGCGTGGCGGCGCGCCCCGGCCGGGATCTGGACTGCACTTGGTCCCCAGACTTCAGTTTTAGCGTCCCAGCCTCTTCTGAGGGATGTTGGGAGGAAAACAGCCAAGGTTGCACTCATTCCTACTTCGCACACTTGTACGTTTCCCTTTTCCTTGCTGGCTACCTCTAAACTCCACGAGAATGGGCAGCAAGGGAAGCTCGTCATCGAGGCAGTCCAACGTTCGTGCCAGCCTTCGGGCTTTTGGGCATGTAGCCTTACAACTTTGGGAAAGGGCTTGAGTCCTAGATCAAAAATCGGTTTTCTGACGTCTGAACACGCACTGGGATGTCTAACTCCTCTTCCTTCAGGCTGTGAAAAGGGGCTGGTTTGGTATGGAGAAGAATGTTCTGGATGGCAGGTTAGCTTTGTGCTCTTTGGGAGAATACAGCTTTTTCTCCCCACCTGGAAACTCTGCTGTGATGGAGGGCAGATAGATGAGGTTGCCTGTCCTGCTTTGCATCTTCTGTGATCTCCCACAGCTGCTCCCACCGTTGTGCAAGATGGGACACTCTGAAATGGAACAGCCTAGGCTTAATTACTTCTCAAGGCAGCTTGGTTGCATGCTTGACCCGTCTTTCCAGAGACAAACGTTTTTCTTCAAAATCCTCTTCCTACCAGACACAAGGTTCTTACCTCCTGGCTCTGGGTTTTTTTTCCATCCATGCTGTGGCACTGTGTGAGTGTGTGTGTGTGTGTGAGTGTGTGTGTGAATACTTGTGGTGGAGGAGCCGGTGACACAGGGAAACCAGTGCAGCAGCCATAATAATAACAATAATGCAATTAAGTTCTGCCCAACTGGGATAGCATTTTTTTGCATGAGCTTTCAGTTTCCCTGCTGATTAATAACACATGGTATGAATTAATCTTTAGAAAAATAATGTCCCATCATTAACATAGTGGATTGTTATCCTGTTAAGTCTAGCAGTCACAAATTTAGTATGTAGACATTTATGATTGTACATCATGAGCTGCTTGGGGCAGTGCCTGTTTGTTGTGGCTACTTTTACTCTACTGTGTGTCACACAGTTATTGGATGCAGTTCTTTTTAAAATTGTTTACAATATACTAAGCCTCTCAAACAGAAAACAGAAACAAATACCAGGCTGACTTTTTGAATAGAAACAAAACTTTTGGGAACGTCTCAGTTTGGGGACCTTCTTATTAGGGATGCATTTGGACCATTAATGTGTTTACTCTCCCAAGTCACTTCCATGTGCTCTTTGGAAATCTATCAGAGGAGTTAAAAGGAAACCTCCCAAATCATCCCTACCGAGTGATGGAAGTAGGAAGTGTTGGTCATTTCTCATGTAGTCAGTTTTTTCTGAAGTTGTTTATGCGACACTCTCAACTTTGCTATTCTTCATGAACTGCTTGAGAAATCAGTTCTAACCATTTAATTCTGGAGATCAGACTTGAAGGACAAGTTTTAGGTGGCAGATTTTAAAATATATGTGGAGGAATTCTCTATGCTTAGACAATGGGAATCATGTTGCCATTGTTGATACTAGTTTTATTTTCTTGTACAATAAAGATCACATATGTGTTTTAGGAAGAAAACCAGATAGCAATACTGTACAGAAAAGTGTCCAACCACCTCATTGTGAGTATGGCTTACATCAATAATTAACGAGCTGTTTTAGGCTAGGAAAACAATTTCAACCTCTAGCTCTAGAGTATTTAAATCCTTGGGGAGGGGTAAATAAAAATTCTAATGACAGAAATCCATCTTATTCCTCGTTTGCAAAGCCTTAAGAGAACAAACGTAGGTAATGACTATCCCCTCCCTCCATCTCAGTTTGTATGGGTTAAATTATATAAATATAAAAAAAATTGGTATGAATAGAAAGAAAAGCAAGTAAAAGATTACTGAATTAAGATCAGTGGTGGGGTAAGCTTTTAAAAGTGCATTTTTAAAATAAGAGTTACTGAACTTCCTGAAATGACTAGTAAAAATTGGATCCAAATCTTAAGAGTGTAATCCTCCTAAGGAGAGTCTCCCCCATCCCTGAACTTGTCTTCATCCTTCATATACTAATAGTTATAAAACTAATATTTAAAGGAAAGGATCACTGGCTGAATGTATACATTTGACTATTTGCTTTCCTTGCACACACCTTTCAGGTAGTGCTAGGAGGTGATATGTGTTTCTTTGTGCATGTACATGTGTAAAATGTGTTATATACAACACGTTACATACAACATATATATTATAGTATATCATATATAACATAAATATATTTCACACGGGAGTGTTTCATGAATTATAAAGTCAGTCATCTACTTCAATCTTTGTCTTTTTAGGGTGTGCATATTTTATAGTTAACAGCCTGTATTTTGGGGGGGGGTTCTTCACATTTATAATTAAATATTCATGTGGCTCTCCTTTGTATTAACTATTGTCTAATTATTGGTATTACACAAACACTCTCATTTCCTTTATTTTCAAAAATGATGTTATGAAGGTGATTCTTGTGGATGTGAACAACTGATGGTCTTTGTCCAAGAATACCTCTTTCTATATTAGAGGCTCTATAACATTCACTAATTTTTGGCTTGCAGTTACTGTTTACAACTTAAAATGTAGGTCCTCCAGTGCCTAAGCTGTGCTAAGGATTCTTTCTTTGAATGTCAGAGGAAAGAATAATTTTAAGTCCTCTGTCTTAGCTGTTGTATCTCTGTGCAATATCAGATATTTGGCAACACTGCAAACAGATTAAAAAGGACAGATTAGGAAATAATGGTTTAGGGCAGTATTATCTTCTGTTTGATTTCGGGAATTGCTTTGGTATCTGATTAATTGGAGTCAATTTCCTTTTTTTCTTTCTTGCCCTGAGATTGAATGTAGTCATTATGTCCTAGGAAGAAGTGGGAACATTTTCTGAGTACCTACTGTGAGTATGCCTTTTGCTTACAGGTTATCATTTAATCCTTACAGTAACTCCAGCTATCAGCAACATTAGAGATGCATAAATAATGATAACTTAAATTGCTTGAAGTCATGCAGTTATTGAATAACCAATCTGAGATTTCAACCCAGATTTGGATCTCTGTTCCCCACTGCCTCTGGTCTCCCCATTTACAATGCATTGCTATGCTCTCTTAGGTCTAGAACTGGAAAGAAAAACAAAAAGCAGTAAAAAAAAAAATTCTATATCTGGTAAACACAAGTTTCAGACTGTATAACATTGGCAGAAATTTCTCAGAAGTGACTGAATCGAGATGCATTTGAAGTTTCTCCTTAGATGTGAAACCTTTTGGCATCTTCGTCGTGCTCTTCTAGTTTTAAACTTGGAGTTAAAAATTGATTTGGTCCAGGAGTGTGCTCTTCAGTTTTTCATTTCAAGACAGACTTGAAATATGACTGGAAAGTTTAGGTATTCCAACTCAGAGGGAAGAGACAACCTGTCGTTGCAATGCATACCCTCCAAATGTAATTACTGGTGAAAGGGACAAGGAAAGTCAAGTTTTAACGTTTAAGTTTATTTCCCGCTGCAAGGTGTTGTTCCCTTTCAACCACTTCCAAGGAGAGCGCTTGCCATGAAGTCTGTTGAGCAGATGGATGGCTTGGGAGTGTAGTGAGGCCGTCAGATGCTGCTGGATTTGTTTTCTCACATCCTTTCTCCTGTTGTGAGGGAAAGAGAGTGTGGAAGGGGGCGGAGTGTTGTCACTTTGAACCATTACAGTTTCACCCTAGGCAGTAACTCCCTGTGTTGTTTTATTCTCCAAAGTGGGAATTTAGGCTTAGGGCTGTATGTATCATTATCAGGGTGCATTTTGCCTCCTCCTAATACCAATATAAACTGAAAATTGGGGTATCTAGGATAAGAAGTTAATCAAATGCAAATGTTTGGCTGTAGCACAAGACTGGCAGCAATGTAAAATGATGACATTTAGGCAGGAAAGGTAGGCATGCCCTTAAATCCTTAAGTGATAAGAATTACTTTTGCCTGTGGCCTCTCATTTAGCAAAGAGCATGGGCCTGGGAGGCAGGATACATAGTTTCTAGAATCAGATCTGCTGCATCAGCTTGGACAAGTTAAGTT